TTTTTTATAACCTCTATCTCCCTGTATAGTTGATCCTTTGCTTCCTGGATTTGTTTGCGTAATTCATTGTCGAAGTGATCTTTCATTGTCTGATTTTGCTGTCTAATGTCTTCCTTGATACTCCAGATCATCTGAAGCATGTATATCCTGAATTCTTTATCTGACATTCCATCTGCTGCAGCTGTTACCTCTTCTAAAGTTGAGTTGACCTGCATTGCTTGTGGTCCTTTCTTTCCTTGTCTTTTCATACTGCTTGTGTATCTTTCCTGCAGGCGCAGGCGGCGGCTCTGCTCTCTCCTTATTCCAATTGGGGTGTCGTGACTACCACACCGGCAGGTCACTGGGCCTGTTCTGGGCGCTGGCGGCGGCTCTGTTCTGCCCCTACTGCAATTGGGGTGACGAGTGTACCACGCCGGTAGGCCACCGGGCCTGATCCGCCGGTCGGTTGCAGGTTTGCCTACCCTGCATGCGCTGGCGGCGGCTCTACTCTGCCCCTACTCCAAATGGGGTGACGTGTCTGTCGTACCGGCAGGCTACTGGGCCTGTCCCGCTGGTCGGTCGCAGATCTGCCCACCTTTCGGGCACGGGTGGTGGCTCTGCTCTGCCCCTACTCCAATTGGGGTGTCGTGACTACCCCGCCGGCAGGTCGCTGGGCCTGTTCCTGGCACGGGTGGCGACTCTGCTCTGCCCCTACTCCAATTAGGGTGATGTGTGTACCACGCCGGCAGGCTCCTGGGCCTGATCCGCCGGTCTGTCGCAGGTCTGCCTACCTTGCAGGTGCGGGCGGCGGATCTTCCCTGCCCCTCCTACCACGCCTGTGGACCGCTGGGCCTGATCTGCAGGTTGGTCACAGGTCTGCTCACCCTGCGCGCACGGGTGGCGGTTCCGCTCCGCCCCCACTCCAATTGGTGTCACGTTACCACCACACCGGCAGGGCCTGATCCGGGCTTGGGCGAAGGATCTGCTCTGCCCCTACTCCAGTTGGGGTGACGTGTGTACCACGCTGGCAGGCCGCTGGGCCTGACCCGCCAGTCTGTCACAGGTCTGCTTACCTTGCAAGCGCGGGCGGCGGCTCTGCCCTGCCCCTCCTATCACGCCCGTGTACCACTGGGTCGCGGGTCTGCCCACCTTGCCGGCGCGGGTGGTGGCTCCGCTCCGCCCCCTCTCCAATTGGGGTCCCGCGGTCACCACGCCGGCGAGCTGCTGGGCCTGCTCCGGGCGCTGGCGGCGGCCCGGCTCCTCCCCTCTGGCTCGATGACAAATCGAGAGAGACTCGGGTGTCTGTGCCTCACCCCCCCTACCAGGAGACCAACTGTTTCTTTCGCCGCTGGTATTGATGAAGTTCTCTCCTCCGCTGCTTTCTGATGACATCAGATCTCTGCCATGTTGGTATCCTATGCGAATGGCAGCATTTCGTTCCCCTTGCCGGGCCACCAAAGCAACGGGTGAGTCCTGACCGGCCCTCAGCAGGACCCGGACCGAGAAGCAGTTTCCGCGGGTTCCTAGACCTGGGCCAGGGCAGTTCCGGGAGCCGGAACTCGGCCGCTCCGTGCTCGGTGTATGCTCCGATAAGAGCAGGCTCCAAGAAGCAGCCCCCGTGGGCTCAGTTCCGGGAGCCGGAACTCCCAGGTTTAGTTTTGAATTTACCATGGGCCCAAGGTGTTCAGACTTTTTGCTCATCTACCCCTTGAATACTTTTAAGTTCACATATACAATTTTTCTTCAGAAGGCTCAAATAACTGCAGAGTATAATTGCAGAGTATAAATTTATAAATAAATTCTAACATTATAAATATCTATTTGTAGTAGTAAAACTGTAATAATGTTCTTTTAAATGTATTCATGGAATCTGAGTAGCAAGGTTATTTGATATCCACAATAATCAATTTAAAAAAAATAAAAGGAGTTTTAGAAACTTTTTGGTGTAGTAAGTTTTTAAATATTAAAAATTTTGGATCATATAATTATTATTTGCAAAAATAATCAATGTCCTAATGTATTACATTTTTATAAATATTCAACACCAAAAGTAAAATTTGTTGATGTATTATTTCTTAATGAAGTGGAAAGAGGTGAAGTTCAACATCTGGAAAATGATTCCCTTGTAGTTATTATACCTTGCCAAAAGTCCTTGTGTATTCTTGTGCACATGCCAGTTTGAAGACTGCTGACTTAAATGACTATCTCTGCCTTCTGTAGGCCATTATGACAATCACAAATGTCTTTTAGTGTCCAAGGACAGGCACTCTGCAGACTGACCACCTGGGCTTGAATTCCAGCTCTTAGTCCCAGCTCGTTCTTTTATTAATTTCATGACATTGGGTAATCGCCTGCACTCCATTGTCCATCTGTTTTCTCACCTATAGAACTATGATAAATGCTGATGCACAAGTGAAATGAAATCCCACTTATAACATGCTTAAATAGTGTAGAATAGTTACACATGTCTGTTAGCGATATGGTCAATTCTTCAAATTCTTTTGAGCATTTTACAGGTGTATCTTATTTATCTATGAACATTTCTCAGGCATATTTGATTTGAGATTGATCTCTTGGTAATTTCCTTGTGTCTATCCTGGTAGATAATATTCTACATTTCTTGTAAGAAAGTAGTCAGATCTTCCTCACGCATGTGTATGTATAGATGATTTATGTGTGCATGCACGTCTGTTCAAGCATGTGAGTATGTAATGCTTTTCCATAACAAGGATCCAAATTATCATTAGCACCAAACACTTACTGAACACCCACTATAAATAAAAGTTCTATTTGGCAGAACAAGAAAATTGGTCCTTATAGCTTGCTGCTGAAAAGGATTTACAAAGATTAATAGTCCAATTTTCAAAATAATTCTAAAGATAGCACAGTCCACAATCTGTGATTTGAAAATAACAAAAATGGGTTCAGAGCAACCTGTAAAAGTATGTGACAGGTAATGGGAAAATTAGAAAGTGTATTGAGGAAAATATAGTTGTTCATGCCTTAAATGTTATAGATCACCTGATAATGTAGCATCTAAATGGAGTCAAAGTACAGACATTAAAGTTCAGGTTATGAATGTCTTTGTCTTTTTAAGAATTGCTATGAAATTAATTAAGTACAAGATGTTATTCTGACTTGAATACTAGAAATTTTTGCAAGCATTACTTGAACCGAACTGTTACATTGTTGGGAAACAAGAATATACTTAACATTATTTAAAATACATATCTTGTTTAATGGAGCCAATAATTTAGCCACTAAGTTACTTTTCAAAATATATTATCTTGTTTGCATTCATCTACATCTGCTTTTTCCCTAGTTAATATTAATTAAATATGAAAGAACTGGAAAATTGAGAACTTTGACATGAGCATTGTGAGACTGTGTGATGAGAGGGACAGAATAGTCATTCTCACATATATTATCAGGAATTTCTGACCTTTATAATTGCATACCCTGTTAATTTCATGATTATCTATGAAATTTAAACCCCCTACCCACCAACATGAAACAGGATTCAAAAAATTACATTGATAAGAATATTGTTGTGAAGTTTATTTTACTTTTGAAATAATTTACGTCTTAAAATAGTCCAGAACTTGAGTGGGGGTTATGGTTCAGTGGCAGAGCACTTGCCTAGCATGTGTGAGGCAATGGGTTTGATTCTCAGCACCATGTATCAATAAATAAAATAAAGGTCCATTGACAACTAAAAATTTTTTTAAAAAATCCCAGAATCTATGTGAATCATTGTTAAATCCATGTAAAAATAATCCTTAATTAAGGTAAATGTTTTATTAAACCATACATAATTCAGCAACTATCCATGAATATCACATTGCTTGATGAGCTGGGTGGAAGGGGGACTACAAAATTCAATTTTAGCTCATATAGTTATTAAAAATCCCTCTGTTTATTATTAGATATTATAGATAAGTTAAATATGAAATGAATTTTGATAATAAGACTCCTATTCTGATATTGGCTTCCATGATAAAATTATCATGGAGTATGATAAACAGTAAGTCTTGAACCATCTTTACCAGGAATAAAAATTTCCTATACTCTTGGAGAAAAGGTGGGTATACCTTTCTATTGGTGGAATAGGAATTTCTTAGCATTCTGTCTTCTAGAATATCTTTCTGCCATTATTTTATCCTACCCCAAGCAAGCCCTTTCCAAAAGAGATCTCATTTAGAGATCTCTTTAATCAGTCCTTTCTTCCAGTATATAGAAATCTTATCCAATTTTGTGCATATACCTTTAGATATTCTAACTGAATTTAGCTACAGTTTTTTTGTTTCTATGAAGGGTCTTTTTTTGTATGATATTCTCTAACCCGATCGGGTCCAGGTGCCATGAATTTATAAATGCAAAAGAAAAGTGATTTGGGATTCCTAAAAATATATGTGCTGTTTTCATCTATGCCATTTCATATGTGTATGAAAGTATATGTGTGTATGACAAGTATATGTTTGTACGTGTGTGTATGATGCAAAGTAAGCCAATAATGTTCTCCCTAAAATTTTTTGAAAACACTATAATAAATATATGATTTGTTTTTAATTATCAGTAAACTCTGTATTAATGGATTCTTTTGTCTTAAGGATAGAAAGTGTGTTTTCTTAGATAAATTAATATTTTATTTTTGGTCTTTTTGTTCCAATTATTTTGTTTCTTTATCCATCGTTTTTATGAATTTTATAAGGATAATTTAGGCACTTTTCTGTGAATGTTATTTCCTAAACTTTTCTACTGTTTACAAAATTAACCTCAACTTCTACTTCTCCTTAAATCTTAGTGTAATTTTTCAATCTATTACTTAATACATATTTTATTAATATATGTAGCATAATATGCATTTTATGTCTCCTTATCACTAGATTATCAACTTATTGCAGGTAGGAACCTTAACTTTTATTCAGCTCCCTGTTGCCCATGATACCAGCATGTGGCCTTGAATATGAATGCAATGGAGTATGATAAACAGTAAGTCAAAATATTATTTTTCTTTACAGATTTGGTTCATTTGACTTGTACATCTTCTAAAACAGCAAGAGAAGATTTAGAAGCAGTTGTGGAGAAATTGTTTACTCCATATACAGAAACAGGGATAGGTAAGAACAATAAACCATGATTCATGATAGAAAGATAAAGTAACTATAATAATCCTCTTAGATATCTCATGAAGCCTTTTTTTAATAAATATTTTTTAGTTGTAGTTGACACAATACCTTTATTTTATTTATTTATTTTATGTGATGCTGAGGGTCGAAACCAGGGCTTCGTACTCTACCGCTGAGCCACAACCCCAGCTCCTCTCATGAAGGCTTTTACAACCTGAACTGAAATATGATGTATTCAGCAACAACTCTCACATGTTTTACTAAGAGATTTGAATACATTGTCTTCTTAAACATGGGGAAATAGTCTCTAATGTTAATGGAAAAATGTACATTACAAACATACACAAAAATATATATAATTAAATGCCAGTGTATACTTTACATGCATACATTCTCACATGCATGAAAAAGACTATCAGGAAATTTCTCAAGTAATTTTGGTAGAATTATGGGCAATTTTTTAAATAATTTTCTTTATATTAGTTTTTTTTAAAGAGCATATATTCCTTTATAGGTAAAGTTACCTTCTTTGATGTTGATTCAACTGACAGAAGATTCAAATATTAATTGGCAAACATAGACCTCCATCCTAATTAATAATTTTCTTTTACTGCGTAGTATGCTACTGATGTGATGAATGGTTAGTCCTCAAATGTGTACATACTTCTTTTTTTCTAAATTTTAAAAATTTTTTTGAGTTATAGTTGGATACAATATCTTTATTTTTATGTGGTGCTGAGGATCGAACCCAGGGACTCGCATGTGCTAGGCGAGCACTTTACTGCTGAGCCAGAACCCCAGCCCACATACTTCTTATTTATTGTGAAAAAATGTTTTTCCACCATGATTTTTAAAACTTTTTTCTCCCCATAATAGAGTAACTCTTGTAGTGTGAATGGAGGAAATGTTGCATATTTTGTGTGTAAGTGATCAAAAAGTAGCCTGATGAATGTTCTTCATTTATATGAAAGAAAGGCGATTTTCATTTTAGTGTTTGTATTCCCACCTGAGTCTTGCTCACTTTCTTCAATTAATTCATATATCATTTTCTTTGAATGTTACATTTGTACACACAACCATTTTTTACTCATATGTTCTTTTTTGTTTTAGCTTATCTCCTGTGTATGTTGCTTTTCTTAATGCAGACATGGAATCTTAACTTTTATTCAGCTCCCTGTTTATTCAGCAAGGAATGTTTATATTTACATAAGAAAACATATTGTTCCATTTTCAGGAACTTATATTAATATAATTAAATTCTTTGTGTGCTTCTTGAATAATGTACTCCAATCTAAAAACTTTAGAATTTAATTTATGTCTTATTTTCTTAATCTGAAAATATCATATAAATATTTGGTTCATTGTTAAAAGTTTGATTTTAGAGTTATGATACATGGTAATATTCCTAAACATAATATGGAGTTAAAATTTATCTTTTGATTCTAACTACATCTGCCCCTTACTTACAAAAACCCTTTCTTTGTCATTTCTAAAATTTTTCATGTTTCTGTTATACTTTCATTCTATGATAGTGTCAAATAGAACAGTAAATTTGAATCTTGTATCATTTCTCTTCTTAAATGCATTTAATTTTTTGTTTAAAAAAATCAAGCTGGGGAACATTATTTGTTCTTTACATAGCATCCTCTGGCCATTTTAGATTTTTGAACATTAATCTTAATGGTTAAAGTGATCCCATTTTGAAATGATGTATTGTTTAGAAGCTGAGTGAAATTCTTTAGTAAGAACTATGTGCTCAGAGAGGTCCTCAGGTGCACCGAGGCACTGAAAAGCTAGTTTTCACTGACACATAGGCCTTTTTATCATCAGGATGAGGTAGTGGTCATATTTTAATTAAAATGTCAGAACAAATACTGTTGGAGTTATTGAAAATGAATCACCAGATAAAGTGAGCACTGGGCCATGGCAGGTCAAAGAGGCAAAGTCACCTGCAGAAGAGAACTCAATTCATTTTCCTGCCTAAATGAGGAAGAATGAACTTTATGAGCAATATGAACTTTTAATGCATTAAAGCACATTCTTCCCTGTAGCAAAATCCCATATTTTCACAGATTGATATCTTTTATTATGTTTTGATTATTTGACAATCATGTGAAACCTTATGCTTTAGAGTATTGTAAATATTTTGTTAAAATATAGACGAAAGGAATAACATTATTTGGACTTATTTCATTTTATTTTTCTCTGAGTTCTACATTCTGTATGGTGCTGTGCATTGTAATCCTTTATGAAAGTCAGTTTGGTCACCTTGCAGGGAAGCTCATTTCTTGGAAAACATAATAATCTCTTTTCAAATACAGTACTTCTTTGGCAATGTTTCTGAAAAATTCCAGTAGAGTTCTGTAGGTATTCCCTCTCTTTCTTGCCCTTTCACTTTATACCTGTCAGCCAAGGCCCTTGAGATAAACTCTGGCTCAAAATACTTTCAAGAGCCCTATTTACTAACCTTCTGTAGCAACATCAGGAATCTTGAAACCCTTCTCTGCTTTTTATTTTCTTTTTCCATATTTTTATTGGTTAATTATATTTGTACGAAATAATGGGGTATGCTGTTGCATAGTTCTGCATGCACTCACCCTTCTCTAATTCTTAGTCCCCAAAAGTATACCAAATTCTTTTTGCTTAATTAACCTGATTCTGCAGGTGAGAAAATGGGATGATTGTTCACCATTCATTGTACATTAATTCTTCCAGACTACAGAATATCATTCAAAGCACTGAAAGAGAATTAGAAAGTGAACAATATATACTTACCAGTCTCACTGGTAAAACTATTCTGAGAGTTTTCTTCTTTTACCAGGAAAATTGATATTTTCAATACACATTAAAGCAAGACTTTCATTCAGTAGTGTATTTTGAAATGTCTAAAATGCAGTGTCATCACTGCACCATCTTCTTTCTCTTTTCCCTCCACTGTACATGGCTTGTGGAGTTACCACATTCCATTTCATTCATTTTTATCTCAAAGAGCAACACGTTCTGTGAATTCCCCTTATAGGTGTAATTTGAAGTTGGTGACTGATAAGGGGATTTAAGTACTTGTGGGGTTGTGAAAACAAATGTCTTAATTGCATTTTTATATGTGTTCCATTCAGACTCAATCAAGGGCTATTCTGCCAGTGGATGAAAACAACTTACCTAAAATGGTTGACTTACTCCTTACACATGGTGTGCAACTGTACATCGTTTCTTGTTTTTATTCAATTTACCAAAGTTATTTTTGTTCTTGCTTTTATTCAGGATTCACTTGATTTTAATTTGTTCAAGATCTATTCTAACTTTCCGATTACTTCTTTAGTCTTTACACTATCTAAATGAATGAAGTGAGCTATTGGAAATAAAACATTTCTGCTACTGGCAACCTGTGAAGCATTTCCCAACCAAAGCTCAGCTGCTTTAATATTTTCTGACAATTGTATACTTCACAACTGCATGTTATTTTTTCCAGCTATCTCTCTGCCTTTCAGCTGACTTCAAAGAAAGATGAAGAAATTATATGTATCTTCGAAGGTTTTAAGGTCAAAGCTTGATAGCTCCCTTGTTTCTAGAGCATTTTTCTTCAGCCTGTGTCAACTTTTCCCTCTCTACATGGTTTATTTTCAAAGCCTTAACCTGTGAGATTTCTTTTCCGTAATCTATTGGATTATTCATTTCCCCCAACTAATATTCAATAAATACCCTGACCTGAGCTGGAATTTTCATGAAATACAAGATATTCTCTCCTAGCATATGCTTAGAAATGGGCTGGGCAATATGAGAGTTTCCATTCCTTAGCCCATTTCTCTGCAATGCTCCCCAAGTCTGGTTTCATGAATCCTAAGCAGTATGTGTAAGTATCTTCTCATACGATTTAATGAAACTAAACTCATCAATTTATAAAAAAGTTCTGTTTTTAGCTCTGAAATACCAGTCCTATGTTTTTTTTGTTTTGTTTTGTCAAAAAATAGGTTTTAACATCTAATGTGTGCCTACATAAAGTTAGACTAAAAGATGTTTGCATTTCAGTGATACCTAAAAAGATCACTTCTTCTACTCGGTTTATTTATCTTGTCACACTCATAATTGTGGATTATTTAGGATGAACTAGAAAAATAAAAATAACATATTTAATGTTCTTACAGTGCAGATATATTAAATTAAATATAATCAAATCCTACTTATCTTGAATTCGGGAATAGGGCATTCTTGTTAATTGAATACTGCAGTTAGCTCAAAATTTCTCTACATTGATTAACAATTTAACATTGATTCTTAAAGTGCCTCATAGACTTGAGTAATCTTTATAAACATCCATTATTATCATTGTACAGAATTTGAATTTTTATTCAGACTCGGGCTAGAGAAAACTCTATAGTCAATAGATATATTAACAACAATACATTTTCTCCAACCCTGGAAAATTTAATTATAACATTTTTAAAGAATAAAGGCAGAGAAATGATCATCAAGATAGTAACAAATGAGCTTTAGAAATTGAGGTTAACCAGGTTGGGCTTTTAATAAGCACATTGTACTTTAATTATACTTGAAAACGGGGTCAAAATCAATCCAACTCATTTATTGTCTGTTGTGTGCTAGGCTCTGTGTTAGGGAAAATTAAAAAGGAGGCGGGTAAGGACTAATTCTAGCTCATCTGTGTATACCCAGCTCCTATGTCAATGCCTAACATGCAAAATAGACACTCTGTATTAACAATGAGAGGCTGTGTGCTCAAAATACTATTCCATTTCATGACCTCATTTTTGTTACTTTTTTGTTGTTAATTTTATGTTCCAATATGGCAAACTATTAGAATGTGAGTTCTATCAAAATTTTAATCCTGTGCATACCATTGTTAATAATAGATTTATTGTGATATGTGCCATATTATTTACCTATTTAAAGAGTAAAATTCAAGTTTTAAAAATATATTTATAGGGGCTGTAATAGAGCACTTGCCTCAAGCTTGATAGCAGTAGAGCACTTGCCTAGCTCTTGCAGGGCCCTGGGTTCAATCCTCAGCACCACATAAAAATAAATAAAGGTATTGTGTCCAACTACAATTAAAAAATAAATATTTAAAAAAATTTACAAAATTGTCCAAACATCAACATTCAATTTTAGAATGTCAGTTACCCCCCTCCCCCCAAGAAACTCCATATCTCTCAGCATTTGCTCTCCATTTACCTCCGCATCCTTCAGCCCTAAATAACCTCTGATTCCTATTTCTGTGGATTTATTTATTCTGGAGATACTATTAAGTTACTATATAATTTATAATTAGATTACATACTTAAATTTATATAAGTTAGATTGTCTATTGAAAACGCAAGTCCATTTTTATTATCTTTTCACTTCATAGGGATACTTTAAGGATGAATATGAGCATAAACACTAATGCTAATGAGAAGATATAAGTCCAAAGGAGCATGGCACTATATCAAATTAACTTACTAATCAAAATAATTTTTTAAAATGTAACTTGTCTTAGGTTGAAAAGCCATCATTGCTTGAAATATGCATTTGTATAAGAGTTTGTACATTTACTAATTGTTTATATACAAAACTCTGATTTAATACCATGTCTAGTCATGGCCTTCTTGGTAATTGGCTGCATAGTGTAGTAATCAACAGGTGCAATGTGTTTTATAATATAAATAAAATTCATTTTTACATTTAGAAAATGAAGAAGTTGAAAAGCCAAGAATTCTGTGGGCTCTCTATTTCAATATGAGAGATTCTTCCGACATCAACAGGAACTGTTATAATGATTTACCATCCAATGTTTATGTCTGCTCTGGACCAGATGGTGGTTTAGGAAATGATAATGCAGTCAAACAGGTAAGGATGTTGGTATTTCTCAGTCTTGTATTAAGTGAGTTCCCCGCCCCCAAGAAAAGAGACTTAAAATTTAATACCATCAAATTTGGTACCATCATTTAATACCATCTCTGCATTTGAGCCTGAATTTTTTTTTTGAGATATTTTCTTGCTAAGAGTCTTTGAGAGTCGTGCTAAATTACACAGGCTGGCCTCAAACTTGTGATCCTCCTTCCTCAGCCTACCATGTTGCTGAGATTATAGGGGTGCATCCTGTGGCCAGCTAAACATTTTTCTATGAACTGCAAAGCAACTTTAAATATAATTTATCAAGTATTTTCACTACATTGAGTATACTGATGAATTATGAGAGGTGATTTATGAGTTCCACTATGGCAATATGGATAGAAGATGTTTAAAATACATGTTCATAAAAATGAATGTATAGGGGCTGGGGCTGTAGCTCAGTGGTAGAGTGCTTGCCTCGCATGTGTGAGGCACTGGGTTTTATCCTCAACACCCCATAAAAATAAATAAATAAAGATATTGTGGTCCATTTACAACTAAAAAATATTTTTAAAAATGAATTTATAATCTCAGTATTTAAAAAAATTGTTTCTAATTTAAATAGTTGGTCCATCAGTCTGTTATTTTGAAATACCTAAGCATTTTTTCCTATCTTTTCAAGAAAGATATAGCTAGTAAAAGCAAACAACATGTAATTTTACAATGGTCTTAATGCAGTTTTTTTAATCTTGGAAAAGAATGATAACATGGCTTCTTACAGTTACCATGATTCTATTACTACATTGACACAAGCCATTGTCTCGAGACCTACTATTATAGCTGCTGAGGAGTATGGTAAGTACCAGTGGAAGTTAATCATAGTGCTCCTGGGCAAGGCTATGGAGGTACAGGCTGAGACAAGCTGCCAGAAGTGAACTGTAGAGAATTCATTTGCCTAAACCAATACACTTTTCCGCCTTTGGCAGGAAAGAAAAAATAAACAAATATTTTTCCAGGCACAAGTCTAAACTTTTCTCAGAAAGATTTGGCACATCTTTCTATTAATAAATGGATAATTTAACATTGTTTTGAGACCAGATATGGCAGGGTCTAATTTCATTCCCACCAGTAGCAGGAATATTTAGTAGCCAGTGGCCTCATTGAGCATGTAGTCTAATTTTTAGTCATAGCAGCAAGGCTATGAAAAATGACCACAATTCAGACATTTATAGTTTTTTGCAAAAAAATATTTGTGCCTCACCTTTAGAGTCTAATGGTGATGTTGGAAAATCATATTTAGCCAGTAATGTCAAACAAAAGCAGGAAGTCACAACTCTCTTTTTTGTATTTTATTACTATAATAGGAATTTAAGATGGCTCAATATCTACATTTGTGGTATAAACTGATCAAGTAGTTTTTACTTTGGTGGCCCAATTTATTGCAAGCAGAAATTGCCAATAAGTTTTTAACCAGGTTACTTAGGTTGTTTTTACCCTTGAATAAACTTTAATTTTGGAGGGTGGTGATACTAATGATAGAACTCAGGATATTCTACCACCAATTATATCTCTATAGTCTTTTTCATCTTTTAATATAGGGTCTCCCTAAGTTGCCCCGGCTAGACGCAAGCCTGTGATCCTCCTGCCTCAGCCTCCCAAGTTGCTGGGATCCCAGGCATATGTTATTGTACCCAGCAATAAGCTTTAATTTTTTAAGCCAAAATATCAGACATTTTAAGTAAGAGCTTATAATACAAGTGCTAATGTGATCTAAATTACTACATGCTATAAGATTATAGTTAAGGGATAGTTTTATTGTGAGATAATTTGCTTTCCAAGAAGATAATATTCAGGGGGTAAATATTATCAAATTAGAGAACACTATAATGCCAGTTTGGGTACTAATCATTATATGCTATTAAATGTAAGTAGTTTTACATTTGTTACATAGCATTTGCACTCAAATATCCGTTTGGGGAGAAATATAATAATGCCTACTTTAAAGAGCATCAATAATATTTATAAACAGTTTATTCAGATAAACTACATTCTGATTCCAGTACATCTCCCATGAGCCTATCTCAGTCACTAATTGTGATTTCTATTTTCTAAATGAAGAATGTTATTTCTAAAAGTTCTCAGAACATCACCTAGGTTTTGCCCATTTAAAAACATAAACCCCTGTTCTGTGGCTCAGCAGTAGAGTGCTCGTCTCTCATGTGAGGCCCTGGGTTTGATCCTCAGCACTACATAAATAAAATAAAAGGTATTGTGTCCACCTACAACTAAAAAAAATATTTTTAAAAATTAAAAAAATAAACCCCTGCAGATTTTTTTTCCTTTTTTCCCTTTTTCTTTCTAACAAAATGCTTCATTTTAGCAGTTGAAAAGTTTGTAAATGTATATGTTCAATATGTAGACCTGACTCCCTTGTCTTCCTATTTACCAGCTTATGACTTAAAAATACACTGATATTATAAAATGAACTGTATTTAACATCCACAAGTTAAAAGTGTGTATAGGATGGCTGTGCATGCAATTCAGTGGTAGAGTACTAACTTGTGAGGCCCTGGGTTCAATCGGTAGTACTACCAAAAGGAGGCGGGTATAGGAGTAATGATAACCTTACAGAGAGGGATTTAATAGATGTGTAGCAATTCTCCATCACTATCAAAGACAACAGAATTGAAATAGTCTGGGTGAAAAGAGTAGCATCTGCACCAGCCCATGATATAAACATCGTGGTATGTTTGAGGAAGTACTGGTTAAGGTATAAGTAAAGCCAAACATCTGAGAGGTAGAGGTTGGAAGAAATGGGAGATTAAGACCAGAAAGTAGGCCTGAAGAGTTTATATGCCATACTAGGGATCTTATAACTTACCATTAGTAATGGGGAGTCATTGAAGAAAAAACATAGAAAAACAGAATTTTATCTCCCATAGACCCTTCTGAGAGTGTTATAGAGGTGGAATACATGGGAAAACTCTAGAGGCAAGGAGACTAGCTCGGTTCAGAAACTGTTGGAATTGTACTTGCTGTGCAAGATGGTGCATGCCTAAACTATGTCATTGGGCATAGAGCAAATAGAATCAAGAAATAGAAAATGAAATTGCCCAGATTTGGCAGTTGTTTGCATGTAGGGAGTAAAGGGAATAGAGAATATCTACAGACAGACAAGATAGGGATATGAGATAAAAAGACCATTTTAGGAGAACTGAAATGTGAAGGAGGAATCTGATCTAGGTCTTCCTTCTGCAGAAGGGGCTAAATGTCTCCAGCAGAGGCATAGGGTGAGTTCCTAGGGTGGAGAACAAAGCACATATCTCTAAAATTTAATTTCAGTATGTCCACAGTAAACAATACAGTATTACTAATTAAAAATCACCATACTAGACATTAGATACTCGATCTCACTCATTTTGTAACTGAAAATTTGTATCCTGTGACCAAAATCTCCCCATTTCCCCTACCCTCAGTCCCTTTTACGCTGTTTCTATGAATGTGATTTTCTTCAATTTCATTTGTGAGACCATGCAGTATTTCAGGTGCCTAACTTATATCACTTAGCATAATATTTCTATAGATTTATCCATGTTGTCTCAAGTGACAGGATAGTTTATTTGAAATTTGACAAGAGAGCAGATGTTTAGTGATCCATATACTATGGTAGCTACATTCATTAATTTGATTATGAAAATCATGCAGTGTATATCATTACATTGAATACCTTGAATACATACAATTATGTCAAGTAAATATTTAAAATATCTAGTAAATAGCCTATCCAGAAACATAGCCTTGAAGTATATCCAAGAGGGAAAGATTAATTTTCCTATCTTTGTCCCTTCTTTCAGGTCCACTTCAAAACTCAAAAGCTTTTGTTTATTATCCTTCTACACATCCCTAAAAAAATCATGCAGGAGTCCAGATGTTAAGTTAGGTTTTGCAGCCCATACGTCTCTATTGTACTTTCTCAACTTTGCCATTATTAGTGCAAAAGCAGCCATAGACAATAGGTAAATGAATGAATGTGACTGAGTTCCAATAAAACTTTACATATGAAACCAAGCAGCAGTCTGGATTTGATTTGTGGGCAATAGTTTTTCAGCTCTTGGTCTAACCATTCACCTTGTGTGTACATCAAGAAGAAAAATGAAATCCAGAAAAACCTTAAAGTTTTTTTTTTTTTTAATCAGCATATGTCTTAAGACCTTTAATGACTCTTTTTTACCAATACAATAGAGTGCAAGCTCCTGAGCATGACAGGGATCCTGATCTGATAGTGAGGCAGTAGATTGTATTTCCATTGGTATATACTAATGAATGTTTTTATATTCTCAACAGTCTGAATGCCTAATAATGAACTTGGTCAAATGATTCCATCTTTGGAGGGTAGACCTGAATTGATATATAGAAATAGAGGGAGAAGGTCTGGGGGTATACCTTGGTGATAGAGTGTATGCCTACCATGCATGAAGCTCTGGGGTCAATCCCCAGCAATGCAAAAAAAGAAAGAGAAAAGCCATAGAATTGTGAAAAAGCCACTTTTTAGAAGATCATGCATATATATACTGGTCAAGTATTATAACTACATGAAAGAAAATTTTAAGAGTTCCACTTAATTTTTTTAGATAGTTCCTGAAATGCACATATATTTTAAACTGATTTCTAATCTAAATTATTTTGTTCCTTCATTCTTGGCCAGGCTGAAACAATTTTCCAGAGTATATGCCCCAATGAAGACTTCTGTCCACCCCCACCAAATCCTGAAGATATTGTCCTTGATGGAGACAGTTCACAACCAGAGTCTTCAGAATCCAGTACCATTCTAGAAGCCAACTCAGAGACTCCCGCAGAAAGCACAACCCTGGGAAACCCAGAGGAGACCTCTGAATAAAGGCTATATACCAAACTCAATACTCCACTTTGGAAGTTCCCATGGGCTCCACAATCTTCTTGATGTAAAAAAAACTTTTAGAAGTCAGCAGCCAGTTGACATGCAGAATTATAAGAAGCAACAGGTCAAAGAAATCCATAAGGGAATTTTCCTTAAAAGAGGACATTCCAGTAACACAAAGCACTTATAAAGCACATTGACTTACTTGCCTATTTTAAATACAAAAACCTATGAAATTAACCAGATAAAAATTATAAATGAACTGATTCCTGGGAATATAACTATGGATTTAAAAGTAATCCTATGCATTGTTAATAATTTTGTGGTGTTAGGACAACTTCTTTTTGCCACTTTGGATCATTTTTAAAAGCTACACCTTCAGAATCAGCTCACATATCTCCTTTGATTATTTATTAAAATTACAGATATGAGCATATGAGAAAACATAAAAGCATATGTAAATTCAGTGGAGAAAAACTGAAGCATCAAGATCCAGGCCGAAGTATGTGTTTGGAATAAAAGTTTGTTTTCTGTGTTGACAACAATATAAAATGCCAATATTAAGATATTTAGGCACTTTTACAGACAAACCTAAAGTCCATTACTCAGTAATGTTTTAAAATACTAGTAATAATATTTATATGTGAATCTTCTACACACTGGAAAAAGCTCAATCATGAAGTATTGAAAGAATGAAAGAAAAGGTTTAGATAGGATCCCTGATATTTGGAAATTCTATGGCATCAAGTAACTGGAACACTATCCTAATTGTCTACAGACCTAATTTAGTCAGAGCTGTGCTACTGATATTAGGCAAATTGTTTTATCTTCTGAAACTGTTTCTCAATATGTAAAGAAGAAACAATAATCTGCCTACTGTGTGACAGTGATTATGAAGATGAAAGCAATGCCATCCTTAGACTGTTTTTTTCTGGAAAATTTTGTTTCAAAATTTTCTCATTGACTTGGGACTGAATATCAAAAAACCTTGTGCAGAAAATAATTGCTTGTCATAAAAATAGATCATGTTTTTGTATTAAGCTTTTTAAATGAATATTTGTGTCTGAAATTAGTATTTAGTAGTCTTTATAGACCAGTAAACATAGTAACACATGGATTTCTAATTTTGAAATATAAGTAAGGCAAACACTCTGTAAATTCTTCATATTCCTTTTCTGATAGGTAGGCCTGAAACCATAAAGGTCTCTGAATAGAGTGTAACATTTGGTAAACCCTAATACACACTCCAAATAAATATGAGAGTGTATACATAGGCAGCAAATCCACATACAGCAACAGTGCCTGCATTTAAATTTTCCTAATTCCAAGCTCTGATGGTTTACTTCTTTTGAGCAATAGTTTTAACTTAGAACTGCTTGTAAATAAATAAACAGACTTGAAGCCTCTTGTCACATAGTTTGGCTTTTATTGCCTCTCAGGGAGCTATGGCTCCAGTGGAAAGCACATAGTTCTTACACACTTCAGCTGCAAATGGTCCCTGACCTCTTGTTCTGGAAAAGGTCTTGAAGCTAGTTGTGACAGTAATAGATTCCTGGGAAATGGAAAGAACCAAGGAATGTAGCTCTTGCTTCACCTTTCCAACCCCCACATATAGAGCAGAATCCAGAGGAAAGGAAAACTTTCTAGCCTCTCAGGCTGTTCCTGTCCCCTCCTCTCATTGTACAGCACCTCCCCTATCTTACTTGCCCTCTCTTTCTCTCTTTCCCCCTTTTATAATGTCACACACAAATCAGGGACAGTAGAATCACATTATAACATAATTTGTTATAAGGATTCAGGTCTTTTTTGAACTCAAATCATGTTTTTTGAAGCCTAATTAGGACAATGCACTGAATGCTTAGTACATACCCATAAGTATACCAGGAATTGGTCCTGCCCTTCAATACCAGCAATATACAAGCTTCTACTATATGAGAATATTAAATATGAATATAATTGCAGTAAGTTGTACCAATCAAGATATTACACTTTTTTTGTAATCTTAGAGTTAAGGCTCTCCTGAATGCAGATGCACATTTATGTAAACAGACAACCAGGGTAGGCCTAATATAACTAAAAAATAAATATTAGATAGCCTTAATGCAGCTGTCTATATATAGAACAAGAAGCTAATTTTTACTCTCATGGCCCAGCCCACATTGTACCATATTTCATCTGTTCAACAATATCAGAGTCTCTCTTCCATGCCATTTACTAAATAATATAGAAATGTTTAAAACTTCTGAGTATGATTTGTGATGAATACAATACTACACAACTGCTAAGAACCTTATTACAGAATTCTAGCTATTTCTGGTTGCCTCAGAATGTAATAGATATTATTTAAGAGCTTTCTCTTCAGTTATCTTAATACTTAAAGTACTTGTTTCTGTAGATATTAAATCGAAGTAAAAAATTTTGATTTTGTTGCAAAACTTTAAACATGAAGGCATAAGAATAAAATTTATGTACATAGTTAGAAAAAATTTCAGTAGCTAATTAAAAAATTTGAAAAATTTTATTAAAGACTTGAATATTTAAATATTTACTTGTGCATGCTTATTAACCAAAAATGATATATTCAGTTTAATGATTCATAAGAGCATTAATAACTAATTCTTGAATGCTTCTGTATTTTATTTCTAGTTGGTGTGCCTGCCCAAGAAAACATATAATTATAATGAAGGTCAATTTATATATTTTTCTATAGTGAAATGGCCAGTTAATGGGTAACTTCTAGAATAGTGGTAGTTTCTCAGAGTGGCAGTCATTTGTCCAAAATAATAGCCTTGATTATTTAATTTTTATTATTGATGATAATGATTTATTCTGTCAAGGCCAAACTTCCCTGGATTGGCTGCCCTTGGTCTAAACTCCTGAAAAATTCCAAAACAATTGTTTAGAATTGATAAATAGTAGTGATCATTAAAACTTAAATTGTAATTCTGCAAATCAGTTGTTTACTGCTACCAGTATTGAATAATTTGTCTTATTCTCAGTAAATTTTGTCAAATTCCAAAAAGCATGAATCTATATATATGGTCATTTATGATTTGTATACTGTAACAATTTTCAGAGGAAATAAAGACTTCAATGCCCTTCAGGTGTGATGTCCAATTTTTTATATGATTTTTTATATATACCAATAAAGGTTGTCTTTTTATAATTAGCCAATTATTTAAATATTAAATTGTCAGATGTATTTTTGGTTTTGTTTCCAGGCATCTGTCAACATTGTTGTTTTAGTCAGCTTTTTTGCTGTCATAACCAAAAGACCTGACCAGAACCATTAGAGAAGGAAAAGTTTCTTTGGGGGCTGACAGTTTCAGAGGTCTTAGAAAATAGATAGTGAGCTCCATTTCTCATGGCCTGAGGTGAGGCAGAACATCATGGCAGAAGTGCATGGCAGAGGAAAGCAGCTCAGGATATGGCACTAGGAAGCAGAGAGACTCCACTTGCCAAGGACAAAATATATACCCCACATGCATTCCCCAAAGGACCCATCTCTTCCAGTCACATCCTACCTGTCTACAGTCACCACCCAGTTAATCCCTATTAGGGGAGTACACTGATTAGGTTAGGAGTCTCATAATCCAATCTTTTCACCTCTAAACTTTCTTGCATTGTCTCACAAGCTTTGGGGGATACCTCATATCTAAGCCATAACAAACAAGTTTGTGATAAAGGCTATCAGATGATACATGGATTTGATTCACTTAATCAACTGTTCTAGCTGTTAACATTAATTTCTTTATAAGGCAAAGGTGGATGAAACTTGAATCTGTTTGAAATCAGTGCTGTAAAGATTTTGAGATGTTTCCTATGACTTTAGAGTACATAGATTGTCTACAAACTGTTTTCATATCTCTGAGGAACAGAATCTGAAATGTTTTTCATATTTATTTGATGATAAGAACCTGAAATATTTTTCTCTGAAGTGGTTGAGTCTCCAACAGCTTACTTGCAATATTCAAGAGATTGCTGCTGATCTTACAGCAGAAATCATTCATTGATGATTTGTTTTTGAATCAAATAATGAAGCAGACATTCTCTGTCAATTCCACAAAGTGTATAATGCTCTTTAGCTAGAATGGTTTCTAAAGATAACAGGACTCTTTCAAAACTGGCAATTTATCTGAGATATTAATAAATCAAGTTTGTGAAAGATAAGGTTAATTGAATTTTTAAAAAAGTAGCTGTATTATCCTTCAAGCACCTTGGAGCTCATACAGTATTCACACTTTTTTTTAAACAAGTACTTTGATATGTTTGAATTCTCCTTTAATGATAGCTTTTTTTAAAACACAATTAAGTAGTTTAACTCTTAGCATCCCAAGTCACATTTTGAAGGCCACTTTTCTGTCCATTAATGTACAATTTTAGCTAAGGGGCTGCAATTGTGATGCCCTTGCCATATAAGTCACTACGTCTGCCCTTTCTGGTGATGATGACTCTTAGGACCATTTGACAGGTAATCATTAGAACTTGGATCCTAGTACACTGTAGGGCCTTTTTGCCTATCACTGCAGGAGGATTTATGCTGGTAACTCCTATTAATGTTAATAGGACTTGCATGTATAAAACCTCCTGCTATCAATGAGATAGTTGACCCCTAAAAGAAATATTAATTAGAGATGGATGTTGTAGCTGATATAGAAGCATCAGTGAATTGTCCTATTTGGGACTTTCAGGTGGGTAAAAAAATAGAGTGTACCAATTCTGAGAATTTGTAGAGTTTGAAATAATAAAAAACTAGATCTTAATGATCTATCCCCATTTCTAATATATATTAGAAATTACTGAACGTTTAAATGTTATCAACATTTCCCTCTTATTTTTAGAGTAATTTTGTCTAGAATTCATTGAAATAACATTTTTGTACATGTACACAAAATGTAAGATTCCACACTATAGCATAGTTTGTTGTAAATTTTGAAAAGTTCATTAAAAGGAGACTGACTTCAATTGTTAATAAATGTATTTAATAGTAAAGAACACTATGCAGCTGCTAGTATGATATGCATATAGATCTAGATATATATATATACATATAGGTGGGTGTGTCTCCAACATATATTTAAAAAGCAAGTAACAGAATATATTAATTTATATAAAAATTCAAGTACTTCCTACATTGCACATACATACGCACATCATAGGAAATGTTTGTGAAGTACACATACCATACTGATAACTGGTTATGTTGGGGAAAGATGAGGATCAATAGGGCAAGAATAAAAGAGTACTTAGAATTTTACATTTTTTTATTTAGAAATTTGCATAGCAAATATTCTTGTACTTTTAAAAATTTAATTTGTTTCATAATCCAATGCCAAATCCCTAGGTAGTATGTGGGACCTCAAAAAATAGTGAATTTACTTTGGAATATATGAATATTTTTATAAAGTACAATATACTTACGACAAAATAATTAACAGTTATAATGGAATACTATGCAGCTGCAAAATGGAATTAGTAAACTGTTATAGTGTGATCTCCAGGACATTATTTGACACAAGAATTCTGTATACAAATATATATATAATATTTATGCTTTAGGTAAGAAGGTAAAGTGTACTCAAAAATTTTTAAATGGTTACCCCTTAGAAAAGGAAAGAAGCAGGTCACAACAATGGAAGTTAGATCTCCTTTGTTTTGACTTTGAAACCAAAAGTAATTTCTAAAATGCTAAACTGAAATTACTGAGCCTAGCCATTACGTGGGATTATTGGCATAACTACATGGAAAAGAATTAAGGATTTTAAAGTGCACATAAAATATGTAGCCTAGGGCATAGGGATGGAGTACAGAACACAAATATCAGTGTGCTTGGTGATAATAATATAATGTGATAGATACAATAATAGTTTATGTTGCTATGTTTATTGAGCAATATTTATAAGAAAAGAATAAGTAAAGAAACTGTGATCTTAGGGGCTGAGGTGGTGGCTCAGTGGTAGAGCGCTTGCCTAGCATGTGTGAGGCACTGTCTTTGATTCTCAGCACCACATATAAATAAATAAAATAAAGGTCCATTGACAACTAAAAAATATTTTTTTAAAAAAAAAACTATGATCTTAATTTTGAATTAGAAGTATCAATGTATGCATATATTCAAGCTCATCAAATTGTGCACAATAGATGTGTACAGTGATTGTATATCAGTTATACCTCACTAAAGCTGTTTTTAAAAGGTGCAACCCTATCAGTCAATATAAATTCAATGTGTTTTTTTCTCATTTCAATAAATTTATATTTCTAGCTA